GGTTTCAGCTTTTGAACATTTGTGCAGCTACTGGTCGAAACGAATCTTCAACTGTAAGTGTAAATGTCTTTAGCGGCCCTTATTTCGGCTTTCCCATTGCACGCAATGAAATCCCATCCTGAAAAAGATAACCTAATATTCAGGTATTCCACATAGCTATAAAAGGGTGAAATAAGAACTTTCATCTTTGGTTGTTTGTCAGACGTGAGAAACCACATTAGTGCCATTTTGTCGCGCGTGCTATTTTATAAAATAAACACCTCAAAACCATAAACTTTTAGTTCGGAAAATTACAAAGTTTCCCATAGACATTATTAAAAATGTTCTAGTGAAGCGATTTCATGATAAATAAGTGAGCAATGGGCCCAAAAGAACTGCTAAGGTTAGTTTTTGTTAGGACTTCAATTTCATGGCTTCCCACAAGGAAGCCATTTCAGAGAGAAGCAACATTTTGCAAACCACCGTCGCGACCTATTTTGATAACTTTTCCTTCTGATTCAACGTGTAGTTACTAGAAAATGATATTGCATCAACATTATTATCTGCTTTATCGATTTAAAGTTTTATAGGGGATATAAAAAACAGTAAAAATGCATTTTGAAAGCTTTACAACTCAAGTGCGGACTTTTTGAATATTCGCACGCGGCAAGCAAGCGCGTTTATTCAATACACTTATTTTAAACCACAATACGTCTGAAACGAGTTGTCATTTTAAGACTAAATTGATGAAAATAGATATAACAGTGACTTTGGAATATCCTACTTATTTAGTGTAATTTAATACTCGAAGTATTCTTGCCAAAAAGGTCAAAAAGATCACATACGCACACAGTAAGTGTCGTTTGAAATAACTTTAGCTAAAATAACAACTTGAACAAGAAGACCAACAATGGGGTCACGAAAACAGTCAAAATTGCGCCCAAATTTGCATAAACAGTTCGTCTAAAAAGATAACTTTAAACTAGATTCAACCAACATTAATGCGGTCGAATTTTGTGAGTGTTTGATCGCATATTTCTACTCAAAAATACCCTTTAAAAATCGTATCTGCTCACTTGAGTTCCGTGTTCATCTTTCTTGTGATTTCCGACTTCTATTTTTAATAAAGTTTGGAGAAATCCTCATCTTTTTGGCTGAAAATCTCGCGCATGGTTCACAGAAGAACTTGGCCCAAAACGTCAATACGTTCGCTTTCCTTTCATGCCAAATTTTTGTTGTAGATCATTCAAAAAACCTTTTCTTTTTTCTCTTTTAAAACTTGCTGTGAAATCCTTCTTTGCAACAATATCGCCATTATTCATTATTTTTGAAAAACTAAGGTTTTAAACTTGAAAAACTTTGCGAGTTTTTGGCCGATTTTCTTGCATGATACACGGTTGAAAAGCTCGAATTTCGCGTTCTATTTTCGTATCCGTTGCTAGGCAACCCGATAAACACGTGCTCAAATATCATGCCCGCAAGTTGAGGTGTCATTTGAGGGCGTATGCGGGCGCATTGCCAGTTACCCACTTGCCAATCTCAGGGCGCATCCGGGCGCATTGCCAGTTAATGAGTTAATATATACTGTGCTGCAGATCCAGTTAACTTGTTTCCTAGTTGTTTTGGCAATATTTACTGATAACTGCTTGAGCTGATGCATAGTAGTGTATGTAGGGGAAATACATAGAAAATAGTGAAATCTAATATTTCTGTGCAAAGACACGGCTCTTCTGAAGCAGCAACTCAGTTGTCTACAGGAGTGGGTGTATAAACACACAGAAATGTTTACTACAAATTATATTACACAATGATGTCTAGCTACTGAGCTGTCTCACTACCCCCTAACCTTATTCCTTTAATACCTGTAAGTTCAATATATGCACAGTTTTGACACATGCATCAAAAGTATGTCACAAATTATGAACATGTGCAAGTCAAAAAATCAACACAGACCCCTGTACATATAGATTATATAATTTTTGCTAAAAACAAGTTGTTACCCATAAAATTTGTATCACTATTACTGTTGTATCATTGAATGTACAGTATACCCAGGTACAACTAATTCTTAAATAAATATTTACACTTATTTCCATAACTATGAGTGTGAAGAATGATTGGAATAATCATTGTCTTTCATGTTTATGCATGATGAAAATGTTAATGACAATGACTATTCCCATTGTTTTTTCACACTTATATTGTACATTTGACTATTGTCATTGACAACCTTATTAAATTGAAATAGCTGTACATATAGTATAACTCTTACATACCTTGAGGTAGAACGATTGAACTTCATTATTTAATGATGAAGCATTCCTTGCTTTTACCTGTTAGATTTGGTGACAAAATAAACAGAAGATGACATCATGTATCCTACCCTGAACTGGAGCTAACAGTCCAGTGATTGGTTGAAGTGGAGAGTACCTGGACATTTTGCCCAAAGACACTTTGCCCAAAGACACTTTGCCGAACGGACATTTTGCCGACGGTCATTTTGCCGACGGTCATTTTGCCGAATGGACATTTTGCCGAACGGACATTTTGCCGAACGGACAGTTTGCCGAAAGGACAGTTTGCCGAAAGGACAACTTGCCGAAAATAAAGATGTTATTTTGTCAAAATGTTTGGGACTGTGACTCATTTTTCAACTGTGTAATTCTCAACCATTGTGTAAAATAACCATTATATGGTCATTAGCAGTGCATAATGGTTGTTAGGAGTGCATAACCATACTGACTATTGGTAGCTTGTTGGTGCAGCGGATGACTCATTTGTTTGGAACGTGTTTTGACGTCAGATCGTAAACAAACAAGCGTATATAAAGACGACGTAAGCGAATTTCACTTCGAGAATCATGGAATACATTCACAGTTCTCGGGGAAATCACATTCATGAATGATGTTCAATGATGTTATTCTTTATATCGCGAATTTTCGGTAAACTTGTCAAAAACTTGAAAGAATATAAAACGAAACTGTATTTCACTATCAAAGTTTCTGTCATCAAAATCGACAATTAATGACTTTAATCACAGAAACTTTGACCGTGTAAGCGAACCTTTAAAGTTCAGAAGATCTCTCTATTTTCGGCAAAATGTCCGTTCGCCACACTGTCCGTTCGGCAAAATGTCTTTCGGCAAAGTGTCTTTCGGCAAAATGTCCGGCCACCGAAGTGGAGGTATAGTCAAACCATCATAGTCAAACAATGTTCCATTGTGATGAAGTTGTGCGATATAGTGTGACCCATTCCAAAAGGTGAGACCCCCTAGATTATATCTTGTCAGACACTGAGAGAACCATAGGGATATCTTGTGGGCCAGTTATCATATTGCATTCTCTGGTTATGATTGCCAAAGAAATATGGTAACACCCATGGGTAACCATTCTCAAAAACATGTGTCTCAGATGTGACAATGCCTCTACAGCAGTTTGAATAAGTCTCATCATTGTTTGGTAGGATAAGATCAAGCTCAATCGGTTTACCATTAACATCTGTGGGAAAAGCCTTGTCAAGGATAACATTGCATGCTTTGGGCAGTGGGTAAAGCCATTCATTCACAATTTCTTGCATTAACTGGTCAGAATTGAGGCTTAAAACTAGTGGCGTGATAAAAATAAATGCTATTGCAATGGACAGACCTTTCCTTTTGAGGGCAATCATTCACATCAAAATGTGTCTGCAATGTAGTAGACAGGATAGGGGCTAGGCGAGGTATCATCGTGTCAAGTTCACAGCCCCATACATCAACAGTTCCAGATGTGTGCAAATTGAATTTGGGAAACTGTTTTAGCCAAATTACCTTCCCAATGGGAAAATCTGATTTGTCGAATGCAGAGACCACATCAACAAGACATTTTGCATATTCTGCTGATGATGCCTTCAGTAGATCCAGGACAGTCAGGTTACCATTTTAGGTAAAACATGGTTAAATAGTTATCAATTGGGCATATGTCACTAAGTTTTACTACTGTGTTCCCATCCAAATGAGCAGTTCCACCCCATTTTGGAACTTTTTCTAGTTGATGAGTATAATCAGAAGAGTTTCCATTCTTGAACTGAGTATGATTTATCAGCAAACACCTTGCCTTTACCTTTTTCCCAGAATAAGTTGATTTTGAACGTTTGTTTGGGGGTGATTTTGGTTGACTTGGTGACGTGTTGTTTAGAGACATGTTCATTGACTTTGTTGTACCAGTACTCATACACTCCTCAATAATCATGATACATAGTAGAGAATTCGGGTGAACAACTACATTCTTGTTCTCTGTTATAAATTCAAAGTTGTCAGGACCATAGATATTTTCCAATAATTGCGTTGTTTCATTTATCCACTCGATATCTTCTGCTGTCCATTTGAGCTTCTTTGTTTTCCACCCACAGCCACAAAAATAATATTATAGATCTGCAAGGTGAACAAGAAAACATGTTTAATACTTTTTTGTGCAATTTGCCCCTGTGTGCCCGTCTTTAGTATTTAGGTCCAATGTCAGCCAATTTTACTTGTCTGACATACACTTGAAGCAGCCCTACCAACGAATAAATTATGTTCCTATTTGGCAACACCTTCTGCAGAGGACTATTTACTGAAGAAGATCGGATTCTGTGAGGAGATGAAATTGGTATGAAAGCAACTTACAGTAATAATACATAATTTAATATAGACAAAAAAACTGAGGCATGCATGATAATGATACACTGGCGACCATTTTTCTAGGTACTATGTAACATATTAGTCGAACCCAAAGTTTGGCAATGTAAAAGAACAATTGAATAATATATCTGATGAATACCGAATTTGTTTGCAACTGCCTGAGTAAAATGTGGCGACAAGTGTACAGTTGTGAATATATTTGAAATTTCCCTTCAGTAACATTAAAATGTTAAATCTACTATCATGCATTTCAGTATTTTAGCGATTTTTCTCCTGGGAAGGATTACATAAGAGATCATGGTGTTTGGCAAGAAACAATTACTATACAACCCGCAAGTAAGTATATAATTCAAATAATTTCAATCGTCAAACCAGCCACGGCAAAGTTGCATATTTTCTATTACTATACATGGCTTACCCTTACTTACATTATTTCTCCATTTGTGCATATAATGTACACGCACACATTCCCGTCCATGCTCAAATTGCAGAAACTAATACCACAGTCTTTTTGTGTCCTTGTTGCAAACATGCACATACATGGATCTCAGAGTGAAGATTTTTGGATGTAATAAAAATGACATGTTGTTTTAGGCAAGCTTGAGATTTGCGCTAGTCAGAGGAAACAGTTCTGGGAGGAAGATATTGAAGATTTCCTCAATTTGTCAGACGACGATGAAGATTGGAATGAAGAAGTCATCTCATATGCTGCCAAACTTCATCAAGAATTTTTTCAATTGGCAAGGTTTATCTCAATAACAATGAAATATAGCAGAGATGTACTGTATCGATGTTTTTCCCAAATAGTGATTTAAAGCAGCTACGTTCATTTGCTTTATTTCCTTTAAAATATTTTGGATTGGGAATATGTGGAAGGATATTGCCTTTATTATCTGCAAAAGAGTGTATGGTGAGCATGAAGCAGATGATATTGATGTTTTTGATATACAGGTTTGATTTAATATTATTGTACTAATATACCCAACACAGATTGAAGTATTTCAACAGCAACTAGAAGGCATTCCCTCTACGAATGCATACCTCCGCCCATGCACAAATTACTTGTAGGTTCAGTCAGTTGTTATGTTTGTTCTTGTTATTTTGGTAATTCTTACTGTTATAAATTTTCATACCTTCAGTGCAAAGAATGGGACTCCAACTTAGAGATACATTTGGCCCGCTGCTAGGAACGGGGGACTACGGCCACCTTGTCACCAAGCATGCCTCAATGTTGATGCGAACATTTGGCTCCATGAGAGAGTTTAGTAATCAGGGATCGAGAGCTCTCATAAGGTCGACCGCAGGTTATATCAGCAAGCGACAAATCATGACATGCACCAGACAAATTTAGTTTTCAAGGTTAGTTTTTAGACAATATTAGGTTTGTACAGCAAAGCGTTGTCAAAATGAATGTACAGCATAAGACGGTACTGTGTTGCAAAGTATTTTAAAGGTGTAGTATAACAGTCCTAAGATGCGGTACAATCAGCAACCTTGTACCCAGGGTCTTTCCTCTTGTGGAGAAAACCTGGTAGACGCTGGTCACATGATCTGCTAAGATCTAGCAGATTTTTAATTAACTATCTTGGATTCCTTTATGGCAATCATACAAAAACCAAATTATAAATTAAACTATAAAAATTATCCAAGTATCAAATATTTATTGACCTCATCTTGGATTGCTAATTAAAAATCTGCTGCATTATAGCAGATTGCGTGACCAGCGTCTACTACAACCTCCGTCGCAGGGACCTTCCACCGGCTGGGAAAGACCCTGCTATCGGCTGGTCACGTGTCTCCCAGAATCTGGGAGATAACAATAAATTTCAATTAGGGTAGGGTGGCTGAGTAGTATTGTTAATATGTAAAGTTTATGCCTGAAACGTTTTTGCGATCGAGGAGTGAGAAATACTAAAAATTTGAGTTAGCCATGGCGGTCAAATATTAAACACGGAAATGAATTCCCGCGAAAAGTATTGCAGTCCATTGCAAACCATATCAAATTACATATCAAGCCATGTGTTCAGTCTCAAAGCTTATTTACCTGAATGACTTCCAAGGAAACCCCCCAAAAAGCATATCAAGCTTCAAATTCATGGATAGATTCGTCTTCTTGTCGACTTTGCAGAGCTGTGGGCGACACAAGTTGCCGCAAGAATATATTCAAGCCTTTTACGAGGCGAATTTGCCCCATCTCATATGTAGACCATGCGAGCGCAGGCTTAATTACAGTGTGGATTTTCAAAAGGTAATTGTGGAAACCGAGCAGTCACTTCACCAAAGCAAGTCAAGTCAAACCCGGTTCAAACGCTGTGTCGATGTTTCGCCATCTATTTCCCAACCGCCAAGATCTCGCCAAGTTACATATGCAGCGCCTTCAGCAAAACTTTGTTGTCGTTCGATTCTTGTCAAGAATCCCTTGAGAATATAGAAGTGAGTACGCACTATTTGTCTGTTTATTAGGGACAATAATATATATTTTATTGTGATTTGTATTAAACCACCTGGCAAGTTTTAAATCAAACTGTTATTGTCTAGTTATACATGCGAGTTCGCGCAAACAATGCTAAATTGACAAAATTGTTGACAGAATAATTTGTATGCTCTTTTAAATATATGTAAATTTTAGATATTACAGTCAAAATGGCTAAAATATTTACTTAGATATATGCAGCTAAACGAATTAAACTTGTCCTCTACAAAGTTAAAAGGCCAAAACTATAAAATGGTCAAAGCCAAATACAAAAGTTCGGTAGGAAAGACTTGTTTTGTGTAGCTGATGTAGTTGTGTCGAAATTTAATATCCGTTTTATAATACTGGTAAATTGAAATATATGGAGAACAATCAGCCAAGTCAAGCCAAAACTTGAACAAAATCATACTTTTAGCACTTGCCTTTGACCTTTCAGCTTTGGCCTTTTAGCTTTGTCAATCTTAATTCGATTCATTTAGCTGTATCAGAATACAATAGAAATTATGCAAAATTACCCCATATAAAAAGGATCCAAATTAATCAAAGGACCATTGCTTTTATTTTAAAAATTGAACCTCAAATATAGACTTCTATGTTTGTGTGTTAAACTATGTTGTCTTATATTTGTCATAGAATGTAAATCCTTTACAAGGTGGCCAGAGTTTAAAACAGCAACTCAACATGCTGCTGAGAGAGGCCAATAAAGAATTGGTGAATATTACCAGAAGAGATGAGCCATCTGTGTTGATGGTTTGGTGGTTTGTCCCAGGAGACTTGGATGGTCGAAATTGTAAATGAACTCTCAACTAGATGTCCCACCATTGCAGAAATCCTATCAAGATTGCTTGATTGCTCCATGTTGGACCCTGGGAAGAAACTACCACCAATATGCTTGATTTATAGTATTATCATGTTCATACGATGTCATGAACTGAGCAGGGTACAAAGGATCAATACTGTCCTTCTGACTGAAGGAAAAGCATCAAGTAATGTAAGTACCAGATTAACTGGTATAAAATATAAAAGTGATACTTTTTTACGATTAAATATTGTTATTGGGCTATTCCAATTATTACATGTATCTGCACCCCCTGTTGAGGAACCCCTTTCTCACATCAGTACTCCACTGGAATTTCCGCAAATTTTCATATAAAATTTACACCTTCACATGGAATTTTTCCTTGTAAAAATTACATGTGCCCATGGAATTTCCATTTTAATAAATTATGCCTTCCCCATGGAATTTCCATTTAAAATTTGGCCCTGTCCATGTAATTTCCTTGTGTAAATTACCCCTCCCTATGGAAATTCCATCATG